AACAAGGTGCTGGTGTAGAGGGAACAAGATGCTGGTGTAGAGGGAACAAGATGTTGGTGTAGAGGGAACAAGATGTTGGTGTAGAGGGAACAAGGTTCTGGTGTAGAGGGAACAAGGTGCTGGTGTAGAGGGAACAAGGTGCTGGTGTAGAGGGAACAAGGTGCTGGTGTAGAGGGAACAAGGTGCTGGTGCAGAGGGAACATGATGTTGGTGCAGAGGGAGGGAACAAGATATTGGTGCAGAGGGAGGGAACAAGATATTGGTGCAGAGGGAACAAGGTGCTGGTGCAGAGAGAACAAGGTGCTGGTGTAGAGGGAACAAGGTGCTGGTGTAGAGGGAACAAGGTGCTGGTGCAGAGGGAACAAGATGTTGGTGTAGAGGGAACAAAGTGCTGGTGTAGAGGGAACAAGATGTTGGTGTAGAGGGAACAAGATATTGGTGTAGAGGGAACAAGATGGTGGTGTAAAGGGAACAAGATGTTGGTGTAGAGGGAACAAGATGTTGGTGTAGAGGGAACAAGGTGCTGGTGTAGAGGGAACAAGATGCTGGTGTAGAGGGAACAAGATGGTGTAGAGGGAACAATGTGTTGGTGTAGAGGGAACAAGATGCTGGTGTAGAGGGAACAAGATATCGGTGTAGAGGGAACAAGGTGCTGGTGTAGCGGGAACAAGATGTTGGTGTAGAGGGAACAAGATGCTGGTGTAGAGGGAACAAGGTGCTGGTGCAGAGGGAACAAGGTGCTGGTGCAGAGGGAACAAGGTGCTGGTGTAGAGGGAACAAGGTGATGGTGTAGAGCAGCGGTTCTCATCCTTCCTAACATGAAACTCTTTAAAATAGTTCCTCAAGTTGTGGTAGGGGAACTAATGTGCCGGTGTAGGGGGAACAATGTGTTGGTGTAAAGGGAACAAGGTGCTGGTGTAGAGGGAATGAGGTATTGGTGTAGAGGGAACGGGGTGTTGGCGTAGAGGGAACAAGGTGTTACAGTAGATGGAATGAGCTGTTGGTGTAGAGGGAACAAGGTGCTGGTGTAGAGGGAACAAGATGCTGGTGTAGAGGGAACAAGATGCTGGTGTAGAGGGAACAAGATATCGGTGTAGAGGGAACAAGGTGCTGGTGTAGCGGGAACAAGATGTTGGTGTAGAGGGAACAAGGTGCTGGTGTAGAGGGAACAAGGTGCTGGTGCAGAGGGAACAAGGTGCTGGTGTAGAGGGAACAAGGTGATGGTGTAGAGCAGCGGTTCTCATCCTTCCTAACATGAAACTCTTTAAAATAGTTCCTCAAGTTGTGGTAGGGGAACTAATGTGCCGGTGTAGGGGGAACAAGGTGTTGGTGTAAAGGGAACAAGGTGCTGGTGTAGAGGGAATGAGGTGTTGGTGTAGAGGGAACGGGGTGTTGGCGTAGAGGGAACAAGGTGTTACAGTAGATGGAACAAGCTGTTGGTGTAGAGGGAACAAGCTGTTGGTGTAGAGGGAACAAGGTATTGGTGTAGAGGGAACAAGATGCTGGTGTAGAGGGAACAAGATGTTGGTGTAGAGGGAATGAGGTGATGGTGTAGAGGGAACAAGGTGCTGGTGTAGAGGGAATGAGGTGATGGTGTAGAGGGAACAAGATGTTGGTGTAGAGGGAACAAGGTGGTGGTGTAGAGGGAACAAGGTGCTGGTGTAGAGGGAACAAGGTGCTGGTGCAGAGGGAACAAGGTGCTGGTGCAGAGGGAACAAGGTGCTGGTGTAGAGGGAACAAGATGTTGGTGTAGAGGGAACAAGGTGCTGGTATAGAGGGAACAAGGTGCTAGTCTAGAGGGAACAAAGTGCTGGTCTAGAGGGAACAAGGTGCTGGTCTAGAGGGAACAAGGTGCTGGTGTAGAGGAAACAAGATGTTGGTGCAGAGGGAACAAGATGTTGGTGTAGAGGGAACAAGGTGTTGGTGTAGAGGGAACAAGGTGTTGGTGTAGAGGGAACAAGATGCTGGTGTAGAGGGAACAAGGTGCTGGTGTAGAGGGAATGAGGTGTTGGTGTAGAGGGAACAAGGTGTTTGTGTAGAGGGAACAAGGTGCTGTGTAGAGGGAACAAAGTGTGAACATACTCTGTTTTCCCTTTAAAGATATGGTCAGTCCACTGCTTAATTTCGGCTCTATCTAAATAGCAATGTAGTTGTTTTGGTAAGCTGTTTGTAGGTGGGTTCTGTGTTTTTTTTACACAACCAGATCATCTATATCCAGTCTTTCAATAATGTCTGTTGCTAACATATTGTTTCCCTGGCTCCTTCATTCTCCTCTTCTCTCATGTGAATGAGTGTGCATACTTATATACGTCTGTGCCACACGTGCTTTTGTGTATTTTATGTAACATTCATCCTATGTATGTTGTTATATAAACATATGCTTCTGCAGATTAAAAAAAAAATTAAAATGCTGTGTGAAACACGAGTGTTTGAAAGGGCTCATGTAAGACAGGCCTGGGTGCCCAATTTGTGACCCTCTGAAAACAAAGTCTGTCCTTTTGTTCTTTTCTTTTTCTCCATCAGGCAATGCAATAAATAATTTTCAAATGTTTAAAAAGGCCTTCATTAAAAGCTAGAATTCTGCAAGAATCACATTATCAGAAAGCAAATATGAAACAACAAACCAACACTCAAGAAAATGAAACATAATTTTGATCAGTTCACATGAAAGACAAGCCAATAAACACTGGAAACCATGAATACTCAAAAAGTGACAGATCAAATATGGACACACATAAAGAAATGGATAAATAAAAAGTTCCGTTTCCAAGAACTGCTGCATCTTGAGCATGTAGTGCTGTGATCATACACCCATTGGCAGATGAACTGCTGCATCTTGAGCATGTAGTGCTGTGATCATACACCCATTGGCAGATGAACTGCTGCATCTTGAGCATGTAGTGCTGTGATCATACACCCATTGGCAGATGAACTGCTGCATCTTGAGCATGTAGTGCTGTGATCATACACTTATTGGCAGATGAACTGCGGCATCTTGAGCATGTAGTGCTGTGATCATACACTTATTGGCAGATGAACTGCGGCATCTTGAGCATGTAGTGCTGTGATCATACACCCATTGGCAGATGAACTGCGGCATCTTGAGCATGTAGTGCTGTGATCATACACCCATTGGCAGATGAACTGCTGCATCTTGAGCATGTAGTGCTGTGATCATACACCCATTGGCAGATGGACTGCGGCATCTTGAGCATGTAGTGCTGTGATCATACACCCATTGGCAGATGGACTGCGGCATCTTGAGCATGTAGTGCTGTGATCATACACCCATTGGCAGATGGACTGCGGCATCTTGAGCATGTAGTCCTGTGATCATACACCCATTGGCAGATGGACTGCGGCATCTTGAGCATGTAGTGCTGTGATCATACACCCATTGGCAGATGGACTGCGGCATCTTGAGCATGTAGTGCTGTGATCATACACCCATTGGCAGATGGACTGCGGCATCTTGAGCATGTAGTGCTGTGATCATACACCCATTGGCAGATGGACTGCTGCAGCTTGAGCATGTAGTGCTGTGTTCATACACCCATTGGCAGATGGACTGCTGCAGCTTGAGCATGTAGTGCTGTGATCATACACCCATTGGCAGATGGACTGCTGCAGCTTGAGCATGTAGTCCTGTGATCATACACCCATTGGCAGATGGACTGCTGCATCTTGAGCATGTAGTGCTGTGATCATACACCCATTGGCAGATGGACTGCTGCATCTTGAGCATGTAGTGCTGTGATCATACACCCATTGGCAGATGAACTGCGCTCCATCATGCCAGCTGACATTTCTTCCCAGGGTACTACCTAGAGCCCAGTTTTAGAATCTAAATCTATAGTCTCTCAACTATTCTATGAACAGAATCAAAAGTTCCTCAACATTTCTAGAATTTTAATCTATAGTCTCACAACTAATATAGAATGTAAATGTATAGTTTCTCAACTATTCGATAAATGGAATCTACAGTTTCTTAACATTTCTATAATTTGTATTTATAGTTTCACAACCATTATAGAATCTGAATCTATAGTTTCTCAGCCATTCCAGAATATGAATCTATTGTCTCACAACCATTCTCGAATCTGAATCTATAGTCTGTCAACCATGCTATAATGTGAATCTATAGTTTCTCAGCCATTCCAGAATATGAATCTATTGTCTCACAACCATTCTCAAATCTTAATCTATAGTCTGTCAACCATGCTATAATGTGAATCTATAGTTTCACAACTATTCAAGAATATGAATCTATAGTCTCACAACAATTCAAGAATCTGAATCTATAGTTTGTCAACCATACTATAATCTGAATCAATAGATTCTCAGCCATTCTAGAATATGAATCTATAGTCTTACAACCATTTTAGAATACAAATCTGGAGTTTCTCAGCCATTCTAGAATCTGAATCTATATGTTAACCATTCTAGAAAATGAATCTATAGTTCCTCAGCCATTTTAGAGTTTGAATCTATAGTGTCACAACCATTCTAGAATCTAAATCTAGTCTCACAGTCATTCTAGAATCTGAACCTATAGTTTCCCAATCATTTTAGAATCTGAATCTATAAATTCTCAGCCATCACAGAATATGAATCTATAGTCTGTTACATATTCTAGAATCTGAATCTATAGTGTCACAACTGGTTTGTCATTACATGGCTCTCTACCACTGTAGAAGATGATTCACTAGACAGTAGCTAGGAGTTATGACACCTCCTGCTCCCTATTCATCCTCTCTCAAGTTATAAGACTTAAAGACCTTCCTTTTGTTTTGTTTTCTTCCCCTCCAGGTTTTCAGTCTGCAGGATTGACATCTCAGGAATGAGAATCAAACAAAAGCAAATTCACGAAATTCCATTCAACTGTACAACACAGTTACATCTGAACACCTTACGGTTACAAAGTAACACGCAGTCAAGCGTGGGGGCGGGTTGCTGTATTTAGAGATGACAGATAGAATCAAACAGTCGTGTACACTATGTTATGTCAGCGGCTCTAGGAAGTCCCTCTCCAACCACTTCTCAATGTAAGCCTTGTTGGACTCCAGTACAAGTTGGTTTCTAGATGTGTCTGCTCCATCAGCAGCTTCATGTGATTCCTGCTTCTTCCCAAGAACCAGGGGAGCTGCAGGGGATGCACTTCCCTCTTTCTGTGGTCCTTGATGCTTAACACAAACACTGCCCTGGCTCTGCACCGAGTCACACAGGGTGCTGAAGAAGGGCTGCAGTTCCGACAATGTCTGCAGGCGGTGGAGGGTCAACAGGGGTCTTCCTGGGTGGGTTTTGAGTAAGATTGGTTGCTTCTTCAGCTGAGAAAACAAGTGAGAAACTTGAAATGTTTCCTGCTGTAAAGTAAAATAATTTGGACATTAATACTGCACAATCTATTGCCTGCTATGTTTCATTTTCTCAACAGGTGCAGGACTACAGAGTTCCAATTGAGACATTTCCGTCTTTCTGGAGGACAGTGTTATACTGCGCAATGTGGAGGCCTGAGACTCGCAGCCCATGACAATTGCAAGTGTGACTAGCCAGACCCGCCCACATTAAGAAATGTCTTCCACAATCATAGCATAGAATTTCAAGAACATTGTTGTCAACATCTGTGTTTAGTCTGTTTCTTCTCAGACACTCAGCTCTCATCCTTTCTGCAATAAAACTTCTTCCTTTATTCTCATTCCCTTCCTGATGTGCCCCATCCACACAACATGGTCCATGGCATTTTGTTCCCATGAGTCCATCTCAATATCTATACTATTTATGTCCCATTTGCACACATCTTGATATCGTAGTAGAGGTCGGTCTTGACTCATACAGAGGATGTCCTTAGGGACTCTGTGATCCTCCATTCTCCAAGTGTGAACCAGCCACCTGAGCTCTCGTAGACTGAGCAGAATGTTGTCTTCTCCTTCTTCGCGTTCACCAGCTGTACACTCTGGCGGAAAGTTCTGGTTGCTTGTCCACTACTGAACTGCAGTCCTGCTCCAGAACCTGAGTGTTGCGTGTGCATCAGTTTTACAGATCTCATTCCTTTGAATACAGACTGTTGGTTCCTTGCCTCTCCAGCAAATGCACTCCAACTTCAAAGAAAGCTCCCCAATTAGTCGACTCTTACAACATGCTTTTGGGGAGGCAGTGGGTCTATTCTTGTTTTCCCCACAATGGGTCCCTGGAACCCACACGGGGGAAGAATGTTGTAATGCCTGCCCTTTCCAAACCTCAGTGTTTGTGATTTTGCACTGCCACTTAATGTCAAGTATTCTTCTTAGGCATTGCATGTCAAAGATATTTAGCCGTCCCTCCAGGTGCAAATAGGTTGACCAAGTTTCACTGCCATAAAGCAGAGTGCTGAGAACACAAGCCTGACAGACAAGAGCTTTTGTTTTAATCATGAGCTTTCTGTTCTCTTAAACTCTTTTTGTTCATCTGTTCATTGTCCTGATGTTGATTTCTTGGTCCACAGATTGTTATTTACTATTGATCCTACTACATAGTTACACCATTATATGTGTGTGTGTGTGTGTGTGTGTGTATATATATACATTTATACATTTATATATATATATACACATACACACACACACATATATAATGAGGTATAAAACATTATTCTTTTCAAATGAATTAATGTCACATCTTCTCTAATTGCAATGTACATGGAATTTTGAGATTTACCACATGATCATTTTGTGTACACACCGCAGGTTTATTCTTTCAATTTCAGTGATGTTTAGTGTACGGTACAGCCCATATCAATAATGTGCCCAGAATCTAGCAGACGATGTTGCACCGAAGAATTATGATCTTTCTTCTTGGCTGAACTCGCCACACTTGTTGGATTTTTACTCAACTGTGTGTGTACAACCATACAGGAAGACATTCTTTAATTTGTTTCCAAGCTGACTCTCTGTTTGACCAACCTAAGTTAACTGACACTTCATTTAATCTGGTATATGGAATTCAATTTGGTGCATGGAGATACTGGCTCTTAAACAGGCCGGGCTGAGGTGAGAGCGGTCTGGTATCTAACCACCGAGACAGTCGCAAAAACGTTTTACCAACAACTGTTTCTTTCTAGTCAAGCCTGCAGATGTTGTGCAACCTCATCCCCTCAAAATGTTCACAGGATAAATATTTGAAGTTTGAAAGGCAAGAAAGACAGCTCATCACAAACATCAGAAAAAGACAGTCATCATACTTTGCCCATATTATGAGAAGTAAGAAACCAGAATATTGTCAGATTTGTGGAGAGAGAGATAGAAACCATAAGATTCTTGACAGCCTTGTGTCATGATGTCAACTAACAAACTGATACATGCTGGAGATCACATGTTGCCAAGAGGTATGATCTCCCACTCCAGTCTGATCCCTCGAGGGACCTGCCTTGTTTACTTCAAAGAAAAGGTACCACCCATTTTGTTTTAAACAAAGCATGCTGCAGAAACTGCGGGATCACAAGAGAACTGCTTTGTTTGTCAGCCTGTCAGAACTTCCCTTGTAGAGCAGCTGCCAACCAGGGCTCAGTGCCACTTTCAAAGTACTACAAGAAGAGATAATGAGACTAAAGGAGAGATAATAAGAGACTATCAGTTCACACAGCTAAGTGTCAGAAATACCTTGTTGTTGAGCAGGTGAGACAAGCGGCTGATGTGTGGTGTAAAATAAGAATTGTTGTGCCATGATGTCTCCTTCTCTAAACAGGGACCCTCCTCGTCTGCAAGGCCAACAAATGCCCATCGATATCTAGTGTTCAACAAAAACAGACAATTATACAGTAATATTCAATATATATAGCAATATTCAATACATTAAAAATTGGGGTGAACGCAGAACAAACCTGCCCTCCTTCCTCCCACCCCAGTGTGAGTTGCAAGGCCCCAGTGTGAGTTGCAAGGCCCCAGTGTGAGTTGCAAGGCCCCTGTGTGAATTCCAAGGCCCCTGTGTGAGTTCCAAGGCCCCAGTGATAGTTCCAAGGCCCCAGTGTGAGTTCCAAGGCCCTAGTGTGAGTTTCAAGGCTCCAGTGTGAGTTCCAAGGCCCCAGTGTGAGTTGCAAGGCCCCTGTGTGAGTTCCAAGGCCCCAGTGGGCGGTGAGAGAGAGGCAAGACAGACTACCATTAGCAAGCAGGTCATAAAGGTAACTAATTGAGGATTATCTGAAATTAGATGCCAACTACAGCAAAAACTATCAACTACATTTACAAGGGCAAACATAGAGCGGAGGAAGAGGAAGAAGAGGAGGAAGAAGAAGAATAAAGAGAAGAAGGAGAAGGTGAAGAAGAAGAAGAAAAAAGAGGAGGAGAAGAAGAAGAAGCTGCAGCAGTAGCAGCAGAGGATAAGGAGGAGGAGGAGGAGGAGGAGAAGAAGAAGAAGAAGAAGAAGAAGAAGAAGAAGAAGAAGAAGAAGAAGAAGAAGAAGAAGAAGAAGAAGAAGAAGAAGAAGAAGAAGAAGAAGAAGAAGAAGAAGAAGAAGAAGAAGCAGCAGCTGCATCAGCAGAGAATTAGAAGGAGGAAAAAAAGAAGTAGAAGAAGAACAACGAACGAACGAACCCACCCATACATACATAAACATACAGATATATACATGCCACACCCACAGAAACAAATGCAGACACACACACACACACACGCACAGACACACACACACAAACCCGCAGACACACACACACACAGAAGCAGACACACACACAAACACATGCACAAACTAACACAGACAAACACGTGCACACAGACACACTCGTAGACACACAAACACATACAAAATTGCAGACACATGCTCACACACACATGCTAATGCTTGCACAGACACATACACACCCACATACATGCAGACGCATACGCTGACATACATACACACAGGCACACACACAGATACATGCAGACACATACACACAGGCACACACAGGTCTGCCTTGACAAGGCCAGGCACCTGGGACAGACAAGGTTGACACAAGCAGGCAGGCAGGCAGACAGACAGCTGAGTCAAACCTACAGTTGGAACTGTGGCACCTGGTCCGCCGGCAAGGCCAGGCACAGATCTAGCAGTTTGCAGGCATTCAGGTAGAGCTGCAGCCAGGCTGGGTTGTTGTGGGCATTGAGTCCATTGCCCAGGTGAGCCCAGCTGGAGTCCAGGGCTGCAATCTTCTCGATCTGGATC